CGGGCCCAGGCGCAGGGTGCCGGGTGGCCCAGGGCCGAGCAGCCCGCGGGCGGCAAGCGGCTGGGTGTCGGAGGGGTCAGGGCTTTGCGGGGGGTTCGACCCGATTCTCGCCACAACCCCGGAGCGGGAGCTCTCGATTCAGAGGGAGGCGAGTGGGCGCATCCCCTGCTCGCCCCGTTACGCCGGCGTGTTTGTGTCTGTGCCTGGGACGGAGGCCTCGGCCCAGGAATACTAAACGGGGACGGATCGGGAGGACAAAGGGGCTGATCCCATCCCTGAAGACTCCCTTGCCTTATCGGTGTGAATGGGCGTGATCCCTTTTATCCGGGAAGGTGTCGGGGTGGACGGCCCAGCACATCAAAACCTTTGTGGAAGGTGAAACTGTGGCAGCCCACAAGGGTCCTGTTCTATTATTGACACTTTCAGTTGCAAATGAGAGGAAATTTTATAGCGCCTTTCATTGTGAAGGTATCCCAGTAGTGGTTTATAAACAAGGAGTTAAGCCCCAAAGTACCACTAATGATGAGGAGTTAGAAGGTATTTACTGGTGGTCTGGCTGGAAATAGCATTCATGCTTCCTTTTCTCCTTCCTCTACCTCCTAGCCCAGCTGGGAGGTTTTTCTCTTCCACATACACAGGGTGGAACCGTACCTCGACTAAGTGGGATTGCTGAGGTAAAAAAATTGCATGTGGAGGTGCCTGCGGGATTTGACCCTAGATATGTAGGACACTTTAAAACAAGGCGCAGATTCTTCACGTTGGGACAACTTGTCAGGCTCTGTGGTGAACCGGCCGCATCGGCCTGTTCAAAACCACAGGATAAGCTTCTGTCTAAAAAATAGTTAATCTGAACTAAAACTCAGGGAGATGTATGGGTTGGGTAGCACGGGGTGCCAGTGTGTGTGAAGACAACATTCCTCTGGCTTTAAAATGCTGCGTACAGCCTTATGTAAATTTTCCTAAGTGTCAATTAATAATCGCAGTTAATTACAGCACATTTTCATAACCACCGAAGTTCATTCATCTGTATTGTGCGGCTGAAAAACCGAAACAAGGGAAGAGGCAATTTTCCGTCTGCTTTGTACGCCGGGATTAGCCATTCAGGAGCAGCCTGTGACTGATCTTTACTTCCCCGTGTCTTTCTAGGGGGATGCTTTAGGAAATAATTAAGGATGGTCCGGGTGCACGCGTGTGTGCTTGTGCGAGCATGCAGGAGCTACGGCGGGAGGGAGAAGCCAGCGCGGTTAAATGATATCTCAGGCAGCAAACCAAATTCTTGGGGAAAGTTGAGTGACAAGATCCAAGCAGAAGAGTCTGAGTTGAGATACGTGCTCACAACATCCTGCTCAGACAATCCCCAGGAAATGGGGCAGTCCCACCTCCTGGGACGCTGGTCGGGCTGCAGCCTGGCACCCTGGTGCCACCGAACCCCGTATGGCCTTGGCCCTGCCAGCGCTCATTGTTGAAAGGGATTTGTTTCAATAAAAGAGAAGGTTTCAGGGTGAGGTCTGGATTAGTTACTGGGGTGCAGGGCGGCGGGTGGGCCCCAGGCAGAGCCCCCAGGGCTGCCCCTGCCCCATGGGTGCCTCTGGAGGCCATTCTCATGCAGAACAGACCTGATGGACTCATCAGAGCTGAGGACAGCAGTTCAGTCACAGGGAGCAAAAGGCAATGGGGGAGGGAACGGGTCTAAGTGCTGCACTCCGAAGTGAACCAGAGGATGTGGGCCCTGCCTCAGACGTGTTTTGCAGCTTCGTTTCACCTGTCAGACTTGAAAAGCTTCCTCAGCACTTGGAGAGTGTTACCTGGGGAAAGGTCCTTACATATTCTCGAGAGATCAAATCCTGGGGTGTCACCGTCCTGTTTTCTGATGCCGCTTTCTATCCAAAGTTCTCCAAGCCCTGTGCAGCCTCAAAGCACCTTTCCCGAAGCGGGGCAGTGCTGCCTGCACTCGTTGGCCTGAGAAAGGCCCAGAAAAGCTAAAGGTGTGTGAAGGAGCCGAGGGTAAACCTCAGAGGCCTTTCACCCTGGCTGGTGCGGAGCCCACCCGCTTTCTGTGTGCGCTGCAGTGCCTGAGGCCTGGGGAAAACATCTCCCTACAGGGGCTGAGGGTGCTGCAGCTCCTCCCGCGTGCTGGGCTGGTGGAGGGTGCCCAGAGGAAACTTTGGAAGGGTTAGTGCTGCTCCCAGGGGAGCCTGATACAGATGAGATTTTTAAGACCAGGATTTCAGTTTCTCCTACAGTTTGATGCCCCTTCCTCTCCCCCATCACGCTCTGCACTGTTTGCTCCCAGGCAAACGTTGCTACAGGAGTAAATTATTGCAAATGTTGCGTGCAAAGGTTGCGGCGGAGCTGGGAGCACCACGGCCGGGCTCTGGTACGCTCCTGCCTCGCGGCCGCAGGCGAAGCCCTTCGTCTGCCGGCTCCCTGGTGGGCAGAGAGGAGAATCCCCCACCCCGAGAAGGAAAATCTCTGGACCCGGAGCGGAGGGGGGTCTGCTGGCAGCCGCCCCCGGGAGCAGCGTTTCTCCCGATAAATGTACAGGAGGGTGGTTTGGGGAGGCCTCGTCACTTCAGATTAGGCTGTAGCAGGCGTATCCTGTTTTCTAGGAAAAAGAGGATTTCGTGGCCAGCTTTGTTAGAGAGGCATTGAAGATTTTTCTTTGTGTGCCTGTGCGTTTGAAGTTTACAGGCGGGTAGCTGCAGACTTTCTAGATGTTCTGGGTACACAGATGACACTTATTTTTAACCTTATTTTTATTAGAGGTTTGTATCATGTGGTCCTGCCCAGCCCACAGGAAGGGCTAGAAACTTCATGTAGGAGGGATAACACTTCCTATCTCCGTGTAAACAGCAATTCCCCCCAGATGGGAGAAGCCAGCCCAGCCGTAGGGGAGCCTGGAGGCTCTATTCCCACATGTGGCGGCAGGATGAGGCCTTCCCACAGCGGGAACAGACCTTGCTCGCAGTAGCCAGAGCCCTGACACCGCGCTGCGGGGCGACACAGCTCTGCCCCGGGTTCGGGAGAGCTTCTCTGGGGACCAGTGGTGAGGAGCGGCCGGTCACTGGGAGCTGTGATGGAGCGGTGCTGGTGGAACTGGTTGGCAGCACGGGGCTGGGGCGAGGGCTCCGGCCATGGAGCTGCCGGTGGAAGAGGAGGACACGTCCCGCAGGACGTGCTCCGGGGGGGTTCTGCAGTGAAAATGGCTGTTACTGGGGGCTGGGGAAGCGCCGCTGTGCCGCGGGCCGTGTGTCCACCGACACGGGAAACCCCGAAGCCTGAACTCGGCAGGAATGTCTCCGCAGGCTGCAGCGAAAGGAAAAGTTCCTCCTGCTCCCTGCCCCAGGGTCGCTGGAGGAGCTTGCAACTGTCCGGGGTGATTTAATGGGGCTGGCGCTTCTCCCCGCCCGCTAGAAGACTAAACAAGCACTTAGCCATAACTGGGGGCTGGGAACGTGGGACCCACAGATCCAGAGGTGACAAGGTTGCGCTGCTGGCGGCTGGAGGGAGCGACACGTGTTTGCTCAGTCGCTTTATTTGCCCAGGATCTCCAGGCGTGCTGCTTCTGTAACAGGGAGCCGGTCCTGAGGCACACACTTGGGTGCAAAACAAGAGACGGCGGGTGATCGGAGCCAGAGCAGAGCTCCGGGCAGGGAACGCCGTTGGTTTGCCTGGCCAGAGTGGCAGAGGAGAGGTTTAGGAGGAAATGTAAAGTGGGGCAGTGGGGTGGGCAGAGGGAGCTGGGCCTGGTGCCACAACCCGGGGACACTGCGGAGAAGGCAAGGGCTGAGCAGCCTACGGTGCAGGGCTCAGGGCTGGGGGTGGTGAGTTGTGCGCGGAGGGGCTGGCACCCTCCCTGGGGAGCGTCGCAGGGGGAGATGAGGATGAGGATGAGGAGTCACTTCTGATGGGAGTGGGTGCGGCCGTCCCGACTGTTGTGGTGGTGGCAGAGAGCGGCTCTTCCAGCTGCGGGGCCGCTGGCGCCGTGGGTTTGAAAGGCTGGCGGGGGGAGGCCAGCGGCTGGGAACTGGCTCCTGCTGAAATGCCCCTTTGCAGGGGCCCCGGGCAGCGCGGCTGCGCCCCGGCCGAGCCCCAGCGGCGCGGGGGGGGACGTGTCCGTGGCACGGCCTGCGCCGGGGGGTGGCGAGGGACCCCCCACCTCTCCCCAGCCGCTGCTCCCGGCTCCGGTCAGCCCTGGCCACGGTTCCCAGCGCCTCGTGGCTGCTCCGGTGATGGGGCGGGGGAGCTTTGTCCCCACGGGCACGTCTCTGTCCCCCCGCCCGTCCCAGTCCCACCAACCCTCCGTGCTGGGGAGCCTCGGGGCTGCCGGGGAGCGGGGCCAGGCAGAGGCTGCCGGCTGCAGGCGGGAAGGGCAGAGCCCAGCATGGGGTCCCAGAAACGTCTGGCAGGAGCCTAAATATAAAATCCTCTTTAGAGGTACCTTTTCCCCCCGTGAGATGACACACAGACTCTCTTGATTGTTAAGAAATAAACTCGCAGCATCTCTCTGGTTGTGTGTGGCGGAGTTAGGGCAAAGGATCGGGGTTTGGCTCATA